CTGCGCTGGGGGGGGGGCGTGAGCCCCCGAGAGAATCTGTGCTTCTTTGTGCATGTATACAGAGGCGTGTGATCACATATGTACGCGTGTGATCAGCACGTATGTACACAGAGGCAAACTAAGCCTGTCAGTTTGCGTATATTTGCAATTAAAGTCCACTTAAGTATTCGTGCATGAATATTTCTATAGATATATATGTGTAGTCAGATAATTGTATGTGTACATGCATATATGAATAATGAGTATATATGTATAGATACATGTATATACATCTGCTTTTGTCGTATATAAATTTGGGTATATCTGTGTATGTATTTATGTGCTAGATCATAATTTTTCTTGAAATTGAAGACAAGGGCCAGGTCTAGGCCAAACTGCGTATTTGCCATGGTTAATTTGTGATGCTGTACACATTTCTTCTTCCCTGCTTTCCCTCTCACCTGGTTAGTATGATGGCACTAACTCAGCTGGCATACACTCACACATGCATCGTTTCATGTGATTTTTTTTTTTTTTTTGATGGCCTTGGGAGGTGGTTGGCAGGGCAAGGACTATCATTCCATTTTCTAAATGAGAAGAAATTGATTAGGCGAGAAATGATTTAACCTAAGAAGTGTGTTTTAAACTTGGGCCTTTTTTTTTTTTTTTAAGAGGTTTTTGCCATAGGTTGCATGCACTTGCTGGAGACAGAGAGACAGAAAGTGAGTCACCACCCCTGGGAGGATGGGCACATTGCCATTTCTTCTCCATTGTCCTCAGAATTTGGGCATGATTTGGAACTGCGGATGACTGTGGGAGTCCAACGATGTAACTGTTACGCCATCTGCTGGTCCCTGAACTCGGGCCTTTAAACTCCTTGTTGTCTATAACCCTCCAAGCATAACTCTCCATGCCAGTTTTGGTCAAAGTTCCTCTTTTTTCAACTCTTAATTTTCTCTATCAGTTATTCACTAGGAGGATATGGGAAGGCTAGCTGGACCCACTGACTGTACTGACCACCCAGCTGGGTTTTAGCACTACTTTGTCACTGACTTTTGTGGCCTCGATCCAGTTTCATTCCCTTTCCCAACTTCAGTTTACTCATTCATGAAATGAAGGAGTTGGAAATACTTTCTGTTCTATTGTTCTGTGCTTTGAAATTTGATTTTGATGTATAGAATTGTACTTTTTTTTTTTTGGAGAGGTTTTTGCTATAGGGCGCATGCACTCGCCAGACAGACAGAGAGAGACAGAGAGACAGAAAGCGAGAAATCACCCCCCAGGGTGGATGGCCACACCGCAATCCCTTCTCCTCCATTCTTTTCTCGGGATCTTGGGCACACATGCACACGGTCCTAGCATGAGTTTAAGCCACTGGGTTCAGGACTCGGACCGCTTTCGATTACATGGGAATCTAGCGACATAGCTATTATGCCAGCTGCTGGCCCCAGAATTGTACATCATCTTTAAAAGGAGTAAAGCTTACTTGTTTTACTTTATATGGCCTAAGCGGTATGCTTATTAACAGAATACCCAGTCCTCAAAAATATCAGCAACAGTGCATGCGATTAGGGTTAGTGTGCTGAAAACATTGTTGCATTCTGCCTTACTGCATATTCTTTTGGACAAGAAAAATAAGAGTTAAGTTTGAAGTATATCAAGTATATCCTGAATTGATCTCTTCAGGGTTTGTTTGAAGAACATATTGCCAATAGCTTGTCTTTTTTTTTTTCTTGGTTTGTGGATTCATGTTTGCTGTAGGGCTAAAGAAACTGTCCAAGCACTTTTTTTTTTTTTTTTTTGAGAGATTTTTGCTATAACGGTGCATGTACTCACTAGAGAGACAGAAAGTGAGACATCACCTCCCAGGGGATGGCCACACTGCAATCCCTTCTTCATTCTCCTCTCGGGATTTTGGACATACAGGCACATGCACCTGGTCTCAGTTTTTAGCCACCAGGTCTGGGACTCAAACCAGGTCAACTAAGTCCAGCGACATAACCATTATGCCATCTGCTGGTCCCCAGGCACTTCTTGGGATCTTCAACATTCCCTGGGCTTGGTTCTTGGTGAAAGGAGTTTGTTAGATTTGGTAGAATATTTTCCCTCCTTAGTTCTGTTGGTGGTAAATTGGTGAAATTCATTTCTTCTTGGGATGTTAGGAATTAAAGAACAAAACCAAAGCCATTACCTGGTCTTTAAACTTATTTTCTTGCTAAAATGACCCCAAGGGTCTTCATTTCATATTTCATGATGTCTAGGATGTCACTGATTATAAGAGGCATCATTATTTTATATACCAATAAGAGAAAAATTAAACTGCACGATGCCTTTGACTATAGAACAAGTCTCCATTTCAGAGATGTTAATGTGAAAAAAATCTACATCCCAGACTCAGTGAATTGTGGTGATTGCTTCATTGAGAGAGCTTAGTTCTATTCTTAGAGAACAAAACCCTGCCTTTAGACTCGGCATGATTAATACCTCTCTTTTGCTAAGGCATAGTGTTCCTGTCCCTGCGGAGAATAGGCATGAATGTACAGGGTGCTTTCTGAAAGCTGAAGCTACAGGCTCGTCCGGATTTGGCCTGGATGGCACAGAGCAGTCCACAGGCTTTTCCCCCTTTCTCTTAGAATGCAGGAGACTTCCGTGGAGCCTGATGATAATTTAGCTGATGATGTGGATACAATTCTTAGCATAGTATTTAGAATGAAATCAGAATTCATATATTGAATTCTGTATTTAACTCATCTGTGCTCTGGGCAAATTACTTGTCTGAACTTCAGCTTTCAAATTGATTGAAGTGGATATGATAGTACTCAGAGCCACAATGAGGATGAAAAGAGGTGACGTGTGGGACCAGCAGTTAGCGTAATGGCTGTATCGCTAGACTCCCATGTAGTTGACTGTGGTTCGAGTCCCGGACCCGGTGGCTTAAACTCACACCAGGAGCGTGTGCATGTGTGCCCAAGATCCCGAGAAGAGAATGGAGGAGATGGGATTGTGGCGTGGCCATCCCCCCTGGGGGGTGATTTCTCGCTTTCTGTCTCTCTGTCTGTCTGGCGAGCACACGCACCCTATAGCAAAAACCTCTCCAAAAAAAAAAAAAAAAAAAAAAGGAGGTGACATGCGTGATGTGCTCAGTGTGCTGTCTGGTCTGGCCCACAACACCAGTTATTCTCTTCTTATTTTCTGAACCTGGAAACTACTTGAACAGATAGACTTTTTTAGCTTTCCAGAAAGGATTATCTGTAATTGTTTATTAAGCCCCTTGTCTTTCTTTCTTTCCAGATAAGTCAGCTGAGGATTATAATTCTTCTAACACTTTGGTAAGTCTTTGTTTCCACTATTCGGGTGTGCACTGGTGTGGAGGAGAACATGAAGATAGCATAGTCAAAGCAGAGCCTGAGCTGGGAGGCCCCGTCTTGGTCATTCCCCTCCTGATCCCTGCCTATGTAGTAAGGGAATAGCACTTTAGTAGCAGTATGGGTATCCCTTTCAGCTTCAAAACTTTAGAAATTCTCACCTTGAAAACAACAGATACGGCTTCTAGGCTGTTTTTTCATTTGTAGCTTTGAACCTCGGGAAAGGCAAAGTGTCTTTCTGAGCTTTAGTTTGTTTATCAGTAAAACGAGGAGGATATGTTCTGCCTTACCTGGTCATGTCTGAATTTGGAAGAGAATTCTCTCTGTCTCGTTGGTGGGATCTGCAAAGCCCAGATTAGGGCCGCTGTTGAAGGGAACAGATTCTGTTCACTTAAGTTCATTCCCTCTGTCTGCCAAAGTTGTAATAAATGCCCTATAAGGGGATTGTTGAAGAATTGGCTGGGAAGTAAAACTAGGTGACCTTAAAGCTCCTTCTGACTCTCTCAACCATTTTTTAAAAAGAATTATTTATTTTATTTTATTAATTATTATTATAATTTAACTTGCTGTAGGGTACATGTACCCACGAGAGAGATGAGAGAGAGAAAGTGAGAAAGCAAGTCACCAGGCCCAGGACTCAAACCACTGTGTGCGAGTCCAGTACCTAAAGTACCACACACCTGCTGGTCCCTCTCTCAACTTTTAAGTTCTATTTTCTAGAGCAATTATGAATATAAAGTGAGATGTTGATGTATTTGAAAGGGTTTAAAACAGTAAAATGTGACAGATATGAGACGACTGTAGTATTTTCACCCGAGTTGTCTCTTGCACAAAGGCATTTATGTCATATGATTTATAAACATTTGCACAGGTCCCTATTCCGTGCCAGGTCCTGTGTGCAGAAGTACTGACACAGAGACACTCAGACATTGTCCCACCATCTGAGAACCTCTGGTCTTGTAGGGGCCGTGAAGGCAGTGACAGTTCAGCATGCCAGACTTCCTGAGGCCAAGGACGTGCCTGACTTGTAATTGCTGCATCCTCAGCACCTAACAGGGCCGGGCATTCAGCACACATTCCCTGAATGAGAGATCGGACATGTCCAGAGAAAGCTTCCTGATGGAAAAGTCGGAGATGTGTGAGTTAATTATTTAAAGCAAGAATTAAGAAGAGATGAGGATATTTCAGACGAAAAGAGAAGAGCTTGCGCATGTGGAGAGGCTCGAGCGGCGAGCTTGTACAGAGCACTACCGGTGGTTTGGAACGGCTAGAATGTGAAATGTGAAGGGAGTAGAGGAGGAGGGGAAGCAGGCCAGAACACGCAGGAGTTTGTATCCTGAAGGTAATGGGAGGCTTACAGAATTTTAAGCCAGGGAATAGTACGTTCTAACAGTACTCAGTCAGCATCCAGTTGCTCGGAACCATGCTTCTAGCAGTGGGAATTGGTTTACTGTCATCGATACTCTGTGAATTATAAAACATGTCAATGTCTTGCAGTATATCGGCTTCTTTCTTACTTACTTTCTGCTTTAATACTCCTGAGAACTTGACGAAGTGGGTTATAACCATTTTACAGGTGATAAGCTGGAGCTAGAGAAGGGTTGATGGCAGTAGGCATCTGATTTCAGTCTGCACTGCTCTCCCCCAGTCTTGCTGCCTTTCATCAAATGGAAGAGATGTAATTTAAACATGGAGAGTTTGCAAACATAAGATCTTTGAAGAGTAAATTTTTAAAGGTGCCTAAACAAAGCTGTCTGTGCCTTGTAGCTCAGAGTCTTTATGCTTTTGCTAGAAGAGTGACACTGTCATTTGAAGGCCTCGTATGCGCCAGGCTCTGGGGAAGTCCCCACAGTCACTTTATGAAGGAAGTAATCTGCACCATTTCACAGGTAGAACAACAGACTTCCTGCGATTCAGCGTTCGAGCCAGCTTAGACGTGAGATCTTCTGCATCCAGTCCGGGGCTCTCTTCTCTGTGACAGGGAGCAGAGAAGGTGTCAGAGGTCTTATAGAGGAGACTGCAGTCAAGCTGTGGCTGTGTTTGTCAGTGAGGAGGAAGAGCCCTGGTGCTCATGCCATATGGCAGAGAGGGTAACACCTGCCTGGTATGAACCTGAACTGGCGTAGTATCTACAGTTAAAGCCACGCCGGCTGTCAAGGACGTTTTTCTCTCCTTGTTCAGAACATTTGTCCCTGTGGCTGAGTGCTCTATAAGAAGGGTCTTCAAAATGTCCATGGAAATGAGTACCATGAAAAATCTATTGACAGAGTTCAATTTCTTTTAGTTCTAAAATAAATTCATACCCTAAGTCCATTTTTCTAAAGTTCCCTCATCTTTCCTTACAGTATTACATGGAGTATTGTGGTAGCATGTGATTGTTTTTCATATTGATCTCACACAGATCATTCTACTTGATTTGTGAATAATCACACAGGATTGCTATCTCCATAATACAGATTAGGACATTAAGTCTCAGAAAGATTGAGTTGTTCCCTACCCTTGAGTGAGTTAGTGGTAGAAACCAGTACAAAATTCTGTGGTTCTGAGCATTCCCTTACTCACTCATTTACTCACTCACACTGTAAGTATTTCCTTAGCACTTTCTTTGGGCCAAGGTATACGTGACACAAAAACGAATGTATGCTGTCGTGGCCCTTGAGAAAGGAAAGTCATGGCAGACAGGGAGGTAGGGATGTGAGAGCGGTCTGCGTAACATACAGCGAGGTCGTATTTGATGGCATGATTGATTTTGCCTGGTGGTACAGGGAGGTTTGCAGATTTGCTATCCCTAAAGGTTTGTTCATTTAACACATGATCTTCAGTCCCTTCCAGCTCTAAAATTCATGTATTTGTGGCTTATCGGTGTAATATCTGATTCTGAGATTCTGGGTATTTTTGTGCCTGACTTCCCCCCCCCCCTTTATTTTTTTTGAGAGGTTTTTGCTATATGGCGCGTGCACTTGCCAGACAGAGATAGACAGAGAGACAGAAAGCGAGAAATTGCCCCCACAAGGGGGATGACCATGCCACAATCCCTTCTCCTCCATTCTCCCCTCAGGATCTTGGGCATGCATGCACATGTGCCTGGCATGAGTTTTAAGCCACCGCGTCTGGGACGCGAACTGCGGTCGACTACGTGGGAGTCCACCGACATAGCCATTACACTAACTGCTGGTCCCCCTGATTCCCCTTTATAAAATGAGCACCTACTGTGTGGTAGGCTCTTTGGATACTGAACAGTCAAGGATTGGTAAGGTCTTTGCCCCCCCCCCTTTAAAATGATTTATTTTGGTTTAT